AGGAGACCTAGTCGCAGCGGAAGAGGATGGGAGGGAGGAGCAGGACGTCAGATACGGCGCGGGCGCGCCTAGCTTGCTTCTCTTCTCCCCCACCTACCCCCCCTCTCTTCCCTCCATCACGAGCTGCCCCCCCCCCTGCCTCCGCCGTCCTCCTGCGTATTCCACGTTCGCTGCTGCTCCCTCGCCCCCCCCCCTCCCTCAATCCTCCTGGAGCCGGAGGTGCTGACGGTTCTGTGTCAAGCCACGGCGCTCTCGTCCTCCTCTTCCTTTTCATAGGCACCCCGCTGGAGCGCTCGCTCGGGGCGTCACTCCTCCTCCTCCTCCTCCTCCTCCTCCTCCTCCTCCTCCTCCGCGTCCTTTCTTCCTCACCACCCCAAACCTCTTACCCTCCCCCCCCCCTCCTGCCTCACATCGGAAAGCTTCACCTCGAACCATTAAGTCCCTGGCGCCCTGCATCGACAGAACGATTCATATTGCTTGTGTGACCTCTTGGCACACTCGCTTACCGTCCTCGTCGCCGTTTCTTCGTCGTCGTCGTCGTCGTCGTCGTCGTCGTCGTCGTCTTCCCCCTCTTCCAATCGTCCTCCTCTTTTCGTCCTCGCCGTCGCCCTCGTCTTCCTCGTCGTCGTCGTCGTCGTCGTCGTCGTCGTCGTCGTCGTCGTCGTCGTCGTCGGCGTTATTGTCGTCATCGTCATCGACCTTGTCGTCCTCTCGCGGCGGGCGTCGTCCTGCCCGACCCCAGCGCCGCCCTCGCCTCCCGCGCCCAGCCACAGGTTGCTCCTGCGTGCTGCATCAGACGGCGCGGGCGAGGCGGAAGGAGGGTGGGGAAGGGGGGGGGGGGCGGGGGGGCGAGCGGGGAGGGGAGGAGAGGCAGGAGAGGAGGAAGCGAGGAGGGGCAGGAGGGGAGGAGGGGGGGGGGCGAGCAGGGAGGAGGAGGAGGCGAAGAATGAGTAGGAGTAGGAAGGGGAGGAGGAGGAGGAGGAGGAGGAGGAGGAGGAGGAGGAGGAGGAGGCACAGCGTTCCTGAGGTGCCCTAGTCCTACTCAGCATGGGGAGCCTCGCAGCGCGCCATCGAAACGCTCCTGCGTCAAGCCAAGCTTTCTGGCGGCCGCGCAGAGGGAACCTGATCGCGACACGGACAGCAGAGAGTAGAGCATCGGCCTAGTGTAATTCGAGCGGACGGCCAATTCTCCCTACTCTCGCCGCTGCGATACCGTAGTAATGACATGAGGCGGTAGACATGAAATGTCATCAGAGGCCGTGGGGTGCGTCGATGGACTCGGGTACGTGTGAGCGCCAAGCCGAGGCAGCGTGGAAATGAAGACGAATCCAATCGCAAGCATAGGGAGAGATGCGGCCTCGCACATCGCACCCACAGAAACAATCTTGCACGCGTTGCATCCTCTCTCGACTGATCCAGGCGCCGAGCCAGGTCTTGAAGAGGATGGGGGGACAGGACGGAGGGAGGGGAGGGAGGGCATGGCCGCACTCGGAGAGCTCCAGTCCACCTCCCCACCTGCCAGCGGCGGCAGAAACAATTTCCTCAGTTGCTCCAGGAGGCCCTTGAAAATCGAAAGCTGAAGACGCTGACATGACTTGAATGCGAACGAATGCGCTGCCACCTGGGTCGCAGATCCGACGAACCCTCCCGAACACTCCCAACAACCCTCGCGCCACCCGTTCCCAGCCGGGTCCGCGGGGAACCAGAAGGCAGCATCAGCAAGGAAGGAGACCAGAAGAGTGAGGCGCTAGAACGAGAAGGCCACGGGGGGAGAGTCCCGCAGCGCCGTCGGGCAGTGCCCGTGAAGGCTTTCCTTCAGCATGCGCATCGTCTGCGGCCACTTTGGGAGAATGACTCGGGCGGTATGCATGGTATCAGCAGCAGAGGTAACGAACATAAACCGAACCCATCGGCCTCTTGAGCTACTTTAAGTGAAACCAGTTGGGCAAGGCCGACATCGGCCATTTGAACAGCTGGCCCAGACATCGCCTCTCGATTTCGGCGGTGTCCCAGGGGATCGGAGCCAAGTGGGAAATATACGAGGCAACACTGAGGGCACGCCGTTGGTAGAGCTGAACAGCTGTGCTTAAGGCTTGGCGGGTGTCGGCGATGACCGCCGTGCGCTTTCGGGTGCAGAAGGACCGCTCCTATGTCGTCTGCGCACGCTCGAATCTGCCGTAATCCTGGCGCTTGCACACTCGGAAACATACCCGAGAAGAACCGCAGTGCAGCAATCACGAAGCAGATGAGGGTATCCCTGGAGGACGCCAGGCAACATGAAGAAGCGGTGGAGGAAGAGGCCGCACGAGGAGTGGAGGCAGGGGCTGAGGTGGTAGAGCCCCTGGGTCACGCGTTGGCATCCTCTGGGGAACTGTATCTCGCGCGCGGCCTGCATCAACCAGTCTTGGCTGTCCGAGCGGGCAGCTGAATGAATCGCCAGAGAATTCCCAAGGCGGGCGTATGCATCCGATTCACATGCGCTCTGCAACAAATTACGACCTCCAATGAAGCCTCTCTGGGCGGGGGCCCCGATCTTGCTCGCGACCTTTGAGAGCCTGGGATTGGCAACCCCCGCAACCAGCTTTTTGCTAGTGTTTTTGAGGGCCTATCGGGCGGGTGTCGCGACCATGCTGAACCACCCCACCTGAGACCTCATCATCATGATCATCATGGTCCACAACTCCATTCGGGGTAAAGCTGGGAGGCAGGAGTGGAAGGAGAGGCGCATCGAGAGGCCCTGGGCAAGCCAATGCAGAACCTTAAGGAGGACCTGAGGGCCTTGACCAGTGCTGCACGAATCGTAGGCCAGCCCGTCAGGGCCGGGTGCCGAGGGGGAGGCTCCCCTCACGTGCGAACGGCGGCCAACGTGGGTGGCTGGAGCTCTACGACATCCTCGCCACTTACAAGCTTGGACAGGTACTGCTTGCTCCACCTCGGGACGACAAACTGCTTTTTGAACGTGGGCCCGAGTAGCTCCTCAGCGCGGCGGTTTGGCCGAGGGCAGATGTACAAACTTCCCCAAGCCATCCTCCACCACTCCCGTCAATCAACTCCTACGACTAAAGAGCGACCAGGTCTTCGCTCTGCGCTGGAGAGCTCGCTGATGGGCGCCCGCACGCGAACGGCAGCCAGACGCTGCGTGCTCTCTCTCCCTCTCTCGATATGTCAGCGGGCTCGGCCTGAGCCTCTTGCAACTGAAGGTCCGTGTGGGCTCTGGAGAAGCCCTCACGGCCAGTGAGGGGAATCGAGGAGGGATCGATCGAGAACACCAGCTCACAAGCACGAATGACTTTGCCAGATTCTATTTCCGAGTCTCGCTTCCTGCCGCCAAATGGCACGGGCGAGCGAGCGAAGCACAGGAGAGCGGGACTCACTCATCCTCGGGCGATCGCGAAGTTGGAGATCTCGGACCGCTCTCGCCGTTGCCCTTCTGCACCTAGTCGCAAACTCGAGCTCGACGGGTGCCGAGTGGTTCCCAATGCCAGCGATGGTCTCGCATTCGCCAGTGCACCTGCTCGAAGATCGGATCCTTGAAGATCGTCCTCGGGATCCTCGCTGTGCGATTCGCCTCCTCATTCTTCCAGCAGCGCGTCTACCACAAGACAGTGAGCGGGACGTGGTCTGACAGTTCGGCGGCGTGGAACTCCTCAGGCTCGCCGTGATGCCTTGCCACCTGCCGCAGCTGGTACAGCAGCCAGGTAGGAGACGCGGTGAAGCATCGGTCGATTCTGGCACTTGTCTTGGAGGATCTGTGGTATGACTCAGACGTGGGGCGATCAGTCCGGTCAGCGGTCTGAAGCTTCTGCGTCATCCACGGCCGCCAACACGAGATCGGCGACCAAGAGAAATACGAGACGCAACCTGAGCAGCCGGCCTGAACACCTCATCATGGGTCCTGCGCCCACGCACGTAGGTGAGGTGCTAGGTGCTGCCGTCGATCTCCTCGTCATCCATGTTAACCCCGATCATGAGGGGACCGAATGCCATGGGATCCCGACGGCCAAAGACGGCTAAGCTCACGCTTGATGTTCACGAGCTCGCTGCTGGAGATGTCGTCAGTGTGAAAGTTCCAATGGAACCAACAGAAGCCGATCGTCGTAGCTCAAGACGCAAGATCGGAGGAGGAGGATGAGGAGGAGGAGGAAGAGGAGGAGGAGAAGGAGAAGGAGGAGGAGGAGGAGGAAGAGCAGGAGGAGGAGCAGGAGGAGGAGCAGGAGGAGGAGCAGGAGAAGGAGGAGGAGGAGGAGGAGGAGGAGCATGAGGAGGAGCAGGAGGAATGATGCCATGCTCTTTTTGAGCCTGCGGGGGGGGCCTCGCCGCCCTGGCCGGATCCCCCTGGAGATCATCACTTTCAGGATGCGCCCCAGGACAGGGCCTGGGGATCGGCTGGGAGGGAGGATGGAGACGAGGAGCAGGAGGGACGGGGGAGAAGGACAAGCTCTTCGACCTACAGTCAGCCGGTATAGTAAGGATGCGCGATAAGGATTCAAGGGCCTTGGAAGGCTACGTCGAAGCTTTGCGAGCGGGGCGTGGCCATCGAAAGTGACCAAGGATGAGCCGAAGGGGCAAGGATGCAAGGGTAGCCTTGGGAAGGTTGCCAATCCTTTCTGTGCGGGTTGACTGTATTCCAGCGGTCCTTGGATGCTTGCCTGCGCGTGTCAGACGCTTCCGAACACGCTCGGACGCCATCAGGGGGGGGGGCAGGGGTCGACTTTGAGGGGGTAGGCGGAGGAAGATGGAGACGGGGAGGGGAGCGGGAGAAGGGGGGGAGGAGCGATCCCCTGCGACTGCATCGGAGCTGGGATTCTGGTACTGTCAAAGCTGCGAGAAAGAAACTGACCAGCCTTCCAGGCCTCGGGCAGAACTTTGAGGCGAAAGCTGTGCTGTCCTTGCGCGTGCAGCCCCGTGCATGTGCAGTTCGGAGGCGAGTGGATGAGAGCTGGGCCAGCCTTGTGCAAGCGGCAGTGGAAACGATGGACCAGGCAAACGAGGGGAGGTTTATCAATGATCCGCGCACGTGTGCTGGCGTCGACGGCCGCGATGCGTCAAATCGTGGCATCAGACGCATGGCTTGCAACCAGGCTGAGGCCTCTTCGGGCAAGCGGCCCAGTATGATACACGGCCCTGCCGAGCCCTGGAGGAGGACAGGGATACGCCACCGATCCATCTACACAGATCCTGAGCATGCCAAGCCTGGGCTCAGGATCGGTGGATGTGCTTTCCTGGCCAAGTAGGCCAGGGGGGCGCACCAATCCGGGAGCCAGGCTTCGGCTCGGCCAGGGTGGGTGTGAGTGGGTGGATGGCGTCCTCCGTCTGGAGGAGGAGGAGGAGGAGGAGGAGGAGCATCAGGAGGGAGATCACGAGGATGGGGACGTCTCCAGAGGTCCCCGGAGGCGCCCCTGGAGGTCACAAGAGAGCTCTGGAGGCTGAACAACAAACGAAACACACATCAACACCTCGACCCTCGCAGGGGCGGAAAATGAGGCATACGAGGAGAAGGAAGAGGATTGGCATGAGAGAATTAGGGTCCTGTTGGTAACGGATCCAGGACTCCCGAATTTCCCTCGGGACCAGCGGTTTATCCTTCGAAGAGTTTACGCCAATCTCGGGGCCTGGAATGAAATCCGGGAGTACGAAAACGGCGAACAACCACCAAGACCCATTTCCTCCATAACCCCTTTTCTTGATCGCGAGAGGAGGAGGCGGTAGAGGAGGAGCAGGATAACGATCAGGATGACGATGAGGAGGAAAACGACGAGCATGCGGAGGAGCGGGACAATGAGCAGGAGGAGGTTGCGAATGAGGAAGACGAGGAGGGGATGGAGGAGGACAAGGAAGAGGGGAGGATGATGAGGAGAAAGAGGAGGACGAAGAAGAAGAGGAGGAGCAATGCGAATCCAAGACTCGACAACGATGTTGCAATAATCCCTCCCTCCAACTTCCCTCTCAATATGCCCTTGCAAACATTCATTTCCACTGTAGTAAGTGCCCCGTTGGAAGACAACCGTCTGAGAATCCTGAAGCGCACCAGAACACCATTCATGGGGCTTCAACGCCGCGAACAACGCCGCGAATCAACGCTACTGTTGCGTCCTGACGATCCTGAACCGTGCTAGAACCATATTCCTGGGAGTTCAGTGCCACGAGCCAACGGAGCTGTTGCGCTCTGACCGCCCTACCTCGTGCCAGATCGCCAATCCTGGGACGTCAGCCATAAGAACCCTTGAGACTGCTGTGAGCTCGTAAAACACATGTGCGCGGCGCTTCGGCGAGAACTCCATTTTGAAAAGGTACCGCCCTCCGCCCGTGCAGCCACTGCAAACTTTTAGGACGACTGTGCGCGGCGCCAAGACGGGAACCACATTTTGAAAACAAACCGCCCTCCATTCGTGAAACCATTGCACCCTCTCAGCTTAAGAATCACAAATGGTGAGGAAGTCTCGGGCGACACGCCTGGCCCGCTCTACTGACACGTCTCGGGGTGCGACAGGGAGGAGTTATGTTATACAGAAGAGGCATGGAGGCGGAGGAGGACGAGGAGGAGGAGGCGGTGGAATAGGGGGAGGAAGAAGAAGAGAAGGGAGGCAGAGGGCGGATGCCCCCGCCAGGCCTCCCGTCACCGCGGCCGCGGCTCCCTGTGCGCGCGCGGCGCCCGCAGGCCGCACCACTCGTTCCCGTTGAGCTCCGCGCCCGAGAGGCGGAAGGGGCGCGCGCACGGGTCGAACGCCTTCCCGGGCGTCGACGGGGAAGTGCCCCCCCGGCGCCCCTGTCCGCCCGCTTCTGGGCCCAGGGTGCCCCCCAGTGGTCCCCGGCGTTTCTGGCAGAGCGCCCGACGGGCCCCCACGCCCTTCTGGGCCCCGACGGGGGTCACCGCACATCAGGGGGCCATGGTGGCCACTTCTGTCGACGCCCCACCTGCGAGGCGCAGAGGCGGGGCCGGCGCCGGTGCCCCGAGCGCCGCAGGTGCTCCTCGATCTCCAGGAAGAGCTCGGCGTGCGTGACGGGCCTGGCCGTTGCTGTCAGGGAGCTGGGCTCACGCGCGCCGTGGGGGTCGCGTCCAGAGCATGGGGAGGCTGATCTCTCGTAGGGGATCTGCTGACCCGGGTCCATCCAAACCCGGGTGAGCAAGGCCTTGCAGGATCCTGCAAGATCCTGCAGGATCCTGCAGGATCCTGCAAGATCCGGCTCAGTGTACCCCTCGCTCCGCAGGATCCTTCAAGATCTGGCGCTCTGACCGACCCCCGTTTGCATTGACCCCTGTCTCAAGGCCCCCGAGCTGGATACAGATGCGGAAAGCCGGTACGCCCTGCCGTACGAAGGCCGACGGTTAGAGACGCACGCAATCACATTGTGTATCCCATTCTCGTCCACGTCGGCCGCGTCATATCTAGCTTGCTGGATGAGAGCGCGGGTACGGCGGCGTTGGCCCCACTGAGAAGTGGCCTGCCATTGATTCCGCTGGCTTCGGCTATCGCTGGCTTCCCCAAGCAACACCGCCCTTGTTCTAATTCCGCTGGCCTCCGCGACCCCTCCGCTGGCTTCCGCCGAAGGCGAACGTTTCCCCCTCGAGTCCTCGAAGACGAAGGATTTTTTTTTTGGGGGGGACTTGGTGGGGGGGACGCCCTGAATACCTGGGCCCGAACGCCGCGGGATCCACCGTGACGCAACCCTCCCTGTCGAAGACCGTCTCCTTGGGGCTGCCGTACTCCTGCCGCCGCCTCGCCCCCAGCTCGAGCAACGACTGGAGAAACGCGGTCGTCAGCGGGCCCCGCGGCGCGTGTTGCAGCGCTGCCTTTTCCCCAGGGGACATCCGCAGGCCAGGTTCAGCGCCCCAGCATACCACGTCGCCGACAACGTGGAAGGGGTTCGCGTCCTCGTTCCAGCTGTCCTCGCCATCGTAGACGAAAGGCAAGTCCAGGAGGATGCAGGGGTGGAACGTGTCTACTAGCGCAGTGAGGCGGACGCCATCTGGCAGATTCTGCACCATCAGCTCGAATGCTTGGTTGCTGGTGACCACCCCGCTGGTGGGCAAGTCCATGGGAACTATCGCGTCGTCCAAAGAGCCCTTCACCGGAGCATTCTCGTCCTCCCGCTGGGAGCTGTGGCCCGCGAAGTAGAAAAAGAACGCGTCTCCTGGTAACGCCTCGTGAACTAGCCAGCGCATCGCGCACAGAATATTGCTGCGAGTCGGAAGCAGCGCGGGGTCGCTCTGGCTGTCGGAGAGGCAAAGGATCCACTCCTGTGGGAACCCCAGCCGGAGCAGCAGATCGCGTACCGCCGCGGCGTCGCTTGCACTCGCCGACAGGGCCGCTGACGTGCTGGCATAGTCGACGCCGATGAGCAGCGCGCGGTGCCTGCGCACCTCTGGCGGCGCGCGGCCTGTCCTCCACGCCACGGGCGGCGCCGCCACCGATGCCACTGGCACCGCGGAGGCCTGTGGCGACGGGGCGGGCCGGTCGCCGTGCGCCGCGCGGAAATCGAGCCACGGCAGCCACGCCGATCCGTTCTCCTTCGCTGGCGGCGGCAGGGCCAGGGCCAGCTGAGTCGACGCCGGCTGCTCCGCCGGTCGCGCCGCGGCGGGGCACGCAGGCAGCCCGCGCGGCGACGCGGGGCGCGGGGCACCCGCGAGCGCCTGCGGGGGCGCCGCGGCGACAGGCCAGCTGAGCGCCGCCGCGGCCGGGCCGGCGACTGGCCAGTCTGGCCAGAGCGGGCTCGACGCGGGGGCGCCCTTGGGCCCTCCGTCCTCGGGCCACGATGGCGCCACGACCGCTGCGGCCGTGGGCCGCTCTGCCGCCCAGCTCGCGGTCTTCGCTGGCAGCGTCGCAGCGGGGGCTGGGCGCAGCGTCGCCGCGCTGGGCGGCCCCGCCGCGGGCTGCATCGTGGGCTGCCGCGCCCGCTCCCTGGGGCTCTCGCGGGCAGTCTCCAGGCTGGCGAGGATCGCGCGCTGCGCCTCCACCTCCTGCTCGCTGAGCCCCAGGGCAGCCAGATTCATAGTCCCGTCCTCCCGGTCACCCTGCAAGAGCTGTGGCGCAGCAGCAGCAGCCACCCTCGCCGCTGGGGCTGGCGGCGCGCTGGCTGGGGCCCCGGTTAGGGCGACGTCGAGCAGCAGTTGGCCCCCAGACTTGTCCTTGTGCTCCAACGCGACCCAGCTGCTGATGCCCTTGGACAGCTCGGCCCAGTGAATGTGGGCCTCGCCAACGCACTTGTCGTCGCGGATGAACCTCTGGTGGACGACCGTGATGTGCAAGTACGCGCCCTCGTACGCCTCCCGGGCCTTCCTCAGGCCGATGGAGTGCGTGCCAGTCGCGCGAAAGCTCTTGGGCTCCAGCCTATAGCCGTCGGCATTGTACTGGTCTTCGATCCACGCAGTGCGGACCCGCCCAGCCCCGTCCAGGTGGAACTCCACGCAGTGCTTGCCCGTGTGCTTCAAGCCCTTGGCCTGCCTCACAGTCAGCTCCAATTTCATCCACCGGCCGCCCCGGGCGCACCAGATCGCAAGCGCCCGAGGACGTGGGGCCACGGATGGCTTGAGCCCGTGCAGAACTCCCCCCCCCCCGAGAACGGCGCCTCTCCCCGAATGTGCCCCTTCCCTTCCTCCGCCTCCCTTTCCCTCCACCCCTCCCTTTTTTGGTCAGCCCTGGCTTCGCCTTCCCCCCCCCCCTTCTCCCTCTCCCTCCTCTTGTCTGCCCGCTTCCCTAACGTTCCCCCTCCTAGCTGGGCCCGTTGGCGGCCATGCCCAAAGTACCCCGGGTTGTTGGACTGCATGGGAATTCGCAGACACTTGATGCGTGGTGCTGCCATCGCGTTCCCTCTGAAGGCTAAGCCCCCTCCAAGTAACCCGTATGCTCCTCCCGAAGTACTTGCTACAATCAAGCTTCGGTAGGTCGGGCCTGTCCCCCCACAGGGGGGGCTGTGGGCGAAAGGTTAAAGATACTTGACACATGCACCCACATTGTCAAAACATACTCGAAACATCGCCCCCACACACACTATGGAGCAATATTCCCCCTGCAGAGGGACAGGGCCGACTTAAAGCTTCGAAGAAGACATGGATGGTGCTCAGGTCCCCTCGGAGGGTGAGTGCTCGTTCACTCATGGGCGCGGTGCAGGCTTGTCTTGCTGTGCCGCCCCCGATCCCCAAAGGATGCCAGAGGTTCCTGCGGCCTTTGCCGCGAAGCGTGCACAGGAGCTTGACGTGCTGAAAAAAAGGCCAAGGCAGCTTCTCGGTTTCTGTGGGTTTCACTCTAACTCGTGAGGCAATAATTTGTCGCCTCGAAAGTTGCCCTGCTCAAACATGTGGCTCAGAATCCCAACCTGTTTTTCTGCGGTGGGCGCGACCCTCGAGGAATGAAACATGGTCGTGCCATCTCGAGGTTGGGAGGAAGCAAGTCAGAGTTTGCCCGGAGCAATCTGCTCCCCGTGATAAACGAGCAGGGGCGAGTTTTGAGACTATCGAGCAAGTTGCAGAAGAGTTCTTGAAAAAGTTTGCTCCTATGGAGTGTGATCAGACCCTTTCGGACGAACAGTTGGTAGCTACTTGCAACGAGCATCGGCAAACACTGTTTGTTCGTGAAGTTTCTCATGCCAAGGTAGCATGCGCGTAGTATTATTTGTCAGCGAAGGCGGTGAGAGACGTCGGACCGAGTGTATTCAGACACATGCGATATTCCACCCCTTGCTTACGCAATTACCTGTACATCACGTGGAACCACTTGCGTGGAAAGGTTCCACGAGCCATCGTGATAGAGGGGGTGACCAAGCATCGCCATTCCTTTCGTCGATCGGTGGTGCTGTCTGTAGTCCGAGACCAGGCGGGTCCTGGCCAGAACGAGGGCTTCCCTTGCTGGGGGCCTGCATCGCCTCGCTGATCTCCAGAACGACCCTCAAGCTTTTGAGACGCAGGGGCAGGACAGCGGTTCTCGAAGCGGGCGCTCGGCTGCGGCTTCGAAAGAGCACCGCGGCGCGAGTGGATACGGCTCGCGCGCGCGCGCCGCCGCTCCCCCCTCCCGCCTCCACCCCATACATCCCTCCCCCCCTCTGCCTCCGCCCCCTCCTCACAATTGCTGGCCCCCCAGCTCCTCGGTCGAGCGGGCGCGGCCGCGCGTTGGTGCAGGCAAGAGCCGCCCAGAGCCAGGGGATTGGCCCCTCCCCTGCTCGATGGGCATTCCTCCCCGCGCAGGAGGCAGCTGCCGGGACGCCAGCGACCCGGGCTCATCCAGCTGCGCCCAGCTCTTGCAGGATGGGTGTGGACGCCCCCCCCCCCAGCTGCGGCGCGCCGGGCACCCCAGCTCGCCCGCGGGGAGGGGGGGGCCCAGGCGCCGGCGGAAGCGGGCGATCACCGCCGCAGGTAGGCCAGGAGGTCGTCGAGGGGCACGCTCTCCTTCTGGTCGCTCAGCAGCTCCTTGTGGATCGTGGCGAAGCTACCCGCAGTGATCTTATCCCCTACGCTGGTCACGATGTGCCTCAGATGGTTGATCTGGACCGCCCCAGAAGTGCTCCCTACGACGCCCTCGTAGCACAGCGTGCCGAGGCTGTCGTAGGCCGCGCCGTAAGTCGAGCTGTACTTGCCTTGGTTCTCCTCCATCCATTCACTCAAGGTCTTGAAGGAGACGGGCTTGCCCAAGCCGTCGATCTTCTCGACCTCCTGCTTGATCGTCTTCTCTTGCTCGACGAGGATGGTCAGGCCGCACGCCCTCAGCACACGCGGCACCTCGCTGAGAGGCAGCAACTTGGTCTTGCGATCGACGAAGCAGGGGAACACACTCTGGAGAGGAGTGATCTTAACGAAATCATCCTTGGCTGCGATTTTGGAAGTCGGCAGCAACGAACTTCTCCAGGTGGTCTCCATGGCGAGGCAGCGCGGCGAGACCTGGAACGGATGGGGTTGATGGCTGGGATTCCAATTGGCGGGCGACTGGCGCTTGGGCCCGCGGCTTGAGCCCAAATGGTACGGAGGTCCTGTTGTTTTCGGGCGTGGGAAGTGTTTTCTGTAGTGCCCTTTGCCAATTCTTGGTCGACGTTCGGGACGTGACGTGGACAACGATTACACCTTCGACCGATTGCAAATACCAATGGACCTGCTGCCAACTTTCTCTGCTTCGTTTCGCCGGCTGGACTCCGTATCTCCAAGAATCCTTCCCCGATTACCTACCAGACCACCCCAACCCAACCCGAAGACTCGAATTTCGGGTTGGGGGGGGGTACGGGTTCCATGCGTGTTTTCTCAACGTTCCCCGACCCCCCGCCCCTCTGGAAATGGAGGGCAAATTGAAGCCTTCGGGTTGGGTTGGGGTGGTTTGGTGGGTGGTCGTTCCCGAGTTTCCCTGGTGCTGACTTAGGCTGTGGGTGCCACGTAATCTGGCGTACGAGGTAGCGCCCCCTGCGAGAGGTCCTTGAGCGGGCATGTGCTCGGCAGCGTGCAATGTCTCGCAAGATTTGCTAATGCCACGCTCTGAGGTGCCCCACAAGCTTACAGAAGGGCGCCTGACGGTGCCTGTTGACAAATATCCGCCACCGTGCCCCCTGGCACACGGAAACGTGGTAGACTGACAAGTTCTGTCCGGTAGAATTCCCATAATATTATGTGGGCCCCCTCTACCCGCGCTTCGCTGCATGCATCGCCCTCCCTCCTTTCCGAGGCGTCACTGGGGGCCTGCGCTCCGTAGGCCACGATCCCTTGTACAAAACTTTGGATCCTCGCTGGCGAGTTTCCATGGCGGCCGAGGCATGCCACAAGGACCTCTACGATGGCTTAAGACGCCTCCGAAAAGGCCCAACATGGCCCCAAGACGGCCCAAGATGGCCTCACTACGGCCTGAGAAGCCCCAAGACGGCACAAGAGGGTGACCAGAGGAGCTCTAGTAGGGTCCGGAGGAACCAACATCATTCATTTCCCTACGGTTTGGGATGATTGTTCGCATTTTCGCCTTTTTGGGTTTCCGTTGGCTCAGGCCCCAGCGGCCTCCAAGATGGCTCCCAGGCGGCCCCAAACTGCCGCAGCGCCCTCCAAGCCATGCCAAAGAGGCATCTGGAGGGTCGCACGCCGACCTCAGAGGGCCCCGCGACAGCCCAAGACGGCCCCACGACGGCCCCTAAGAGACCCCAGATGCAGCCAAGATGACCCCCAGACGGTTCAAGGGAGCTTCAAGATGACCCAAAAGGGTCCCAACACGGCCCAATAAGGCCCACTGGACCCCCAAGACTGCCTCATGGGAGCCCAAGACAGCCCCAAGGCGCTCTATGAGAGCACAGCAAAAAGGAATGACGCAAGGTGTCACATGTGACGGCCATCTTCTTCCTCCTCCTCCACTTCCTCCTCCTCTTCGCATGTTACAGCCTCCTGTCACCCCTCGAACAGCCGTCTCCGAGAGTAGTGGGCTGCCACGGTGGCGGAACTTGCTGCAGGCAGTTGGATGTCGAGGACTTTGAAAGGTGCCCTGCGGTTAAGGCCTGAGGGCTAAACACCTGTCTGTACAAGCGCCCGCGACTTCACGCGTGAAGGACCAAAGCTCCATGGGTCGGTATGTTCAGATCATCAGCTGACTACACAACTCGGGATGGCACGGTGCAGCAATGTTGACGGCCTAAGTTGTTCATCGGGACTTCGTGACTGCTGCTTTTACCCACGTATGCCATCATAGAAGCTTGTATCCTGATTGCGTTTGCGGGTGAAACCTCTACCAAGCATGACAAGCAAATCTCTTTTCATCTTTGCGTGTACGAAGGGATATTGTGCAATGCAGTTGTCTGTGCATATTTGGAGCCTGAGATCCAACTGAGGGGCCCTGATCAATCCGCTTCCCTGAGATCCTTGCGATACAGTGCGTTTGGAAACCACTATCTTTCAAAACACACAAGCTCGTTGTCGCGTTGCGAACTGCACTGAAGTAAGAGCCACCGCCATCACCAGCCCCGTGAGTCTCGACGGAAGACAACTACCCAAATCATCCAAACCAACATTCGATATTGCGTTGAAATGCAGGAGGCCGCATATGCTTGGCAACATTTGTAAGAACGGACCTCGCCCGCTTCTTGGAGTGCTGGATTTGCTTGCGCACGCTGAGGGTACGCGAACACATGTAGCATACCAAGACTTGTGGCTTCCAGGTCGCGCGACCCTTCCTGGTACACATCCGCATCCTGGGTACGACCCGTGGTGGGTCCGTCTGGCATGCGCGAGCCGGCTTCGGAAGCGACCGATGAGGTCGGCGGGAATCGGTGCCGTGAGTGTCGAAGTGGTCTCATATGGGTTCAACTCCTTGCGGCGGGACTTCCTGGCGCAATGTAAGACCGCTGGTGTTCCTGCCCTGTCCTCGCGTGGTGAGATTCAAGCTGAGTTCGTGCACTGTTGCCCAGAGTGTGATGAAGCGTTCGCTGGCCCAACAGCGTGGGCGGGCTCGCAGGACCAGACACCATACTGCATTGGCGCGTGCAATTGCGATGGGATGGGCACGCAACACTTGTAAGCGACGTGTTCTTCAAACCTTCAACCGTTGAAACATCCTCGGCGCCGATCTAACGCCTTCTGGTACTTGATCTCTCGTGT